GAAAAATCGAAAATTTTTTTTTGTTGTTTATTATTAGCAATGTTCTTCCGACGTCTGATTTCTTTTTAAAAAATGCGTTTCTAAAGTGCATAAACTTTTGGGATTGACTGTCTAGCCAATACATCCTTAAACTAACTTTCGTGTTGAAAATTGTCTGTCAGATCTTGCAACTTCTGTATACAAGCGGCAGCTTCGACATCGTCGTTGATCGTTATACAATTCCAAGGTGTTTCGCGATCCACGAATTCTCTATTTAGAATTCGCAAATTCATTATTCCATCCTTTCGATGTTAGAATCTTTTTTCTTTTACCCTTTTTTCAGTTCTTCTATTTCCTCTTCGAAGCGAGGTCTTTGGTACTGAAGTCCACAAGTCAGGATTAAATAATCGTACGCTATGTTCCCTTGATGCATCACCGCTACGTACTTGTCTTTCCTATCGATTCAGTAAAAATCCTTCTCGGTTCGATTTGAAGATCGCATTCTTTTTTTTACCTCTGAATCGTTGCTACGATGCCGTAAACGACGTTGATCCAAGAACGGGTAGGTACCAATCGGTGATAATTTCGACAATATCGACCTCTGAAGGGTATCATACGTGCGCTCCTTTCATCGGAATCATTGTCAAAAGGCAAACCGTGGGGCGATATCAGAGTCAAGTTCGTAAATCGCATGAAGCTCTGTCTGAATTCGGAAACGATCGTTCGTGCGGCAAACGGAATTAAAAACTGAAGGCAGATCGTTAAGGCGAGATTTACCCGAAGGCAAGTTGTTCCACAAAAGCTACGCCGCAGTCTGACGCTCCCACTACGACGATCTTCGAGTCGACGTACGTAACAGGGATCATCGACAGCCTTGGCGTCGTCATGAACAGTGAGAAGGGTTCAGTTTCTTGCTGAGGTTCGTCGGTTTCCTCGAACTCATGATACTTGTAGACGATTCTTTGACGAGGGTGCATGGGCACCATGCCTTTCAAACAGATGGTCAGAGGGTGTGTACGAGTCTAAACAGGTATAAATGTCTCTCAGAATAAATTGTTCATCAACGCTTCATCATCGTTCGCAATTTTTGCGTCGAATTGACAATTTTACCAATGCGCTTAAAGCGCTTCCGGTGAGTCGATAGAAAAGAACCATCATATTAGTGAACCGCATGATCTCGTTAAAAAAGTGGGCCAGGTGAATAGAAAATATTGGCATGAGAACAAAATGGAGGATACGGCCGTAAGCGTCGTGCCGTATATTCTGCAACACGATGTAATCTTCCACATGGTACCGCCGCTTGATGTACGTGACTTCGTTCTCGGAACTGGTTCAATGTATTCATCGTTCACTTTTTGTTTGAACCTTGTAGGAAATCAGGATTACCGAATAATCGCCACGCCGACGATCACGTCCTCCCATTGAACGACGTAACAGTGCAAGTCGGTCCGTTCTTCTTTCATTGACTCGTCGAAGTCGGCCAAGATCTGTTCCGTTTTCGGAATCTTCTGTAGAAGCTCCTGCACGTCCTCCCGATCGCAGAGCCTGGCTTCGCGAACTTTCGGTTGACCCAAGAGAGCCGCGCGATGCGTTATGTGCAACGCCATTGGATAATCCTTGTTGCATCTCAACGGGACAAACTACATATATTCAAGATGAATCCTCGTTTTTCTTTCTCGTTTCCAACGGGTTTTAAAATACCCCGAAGACAAAGGACGTACCATGAAGTGTTCGAGTAGATGAATGAACGGATGAGAGAACGGGACGAGTATCGCGCAGTAATCCAGATTAGGAAAACACTCGAACGCAGCCTCTACGAAATTTCTGCTCCATCGCCGTTTCACTTGATCCCGCATCGAGAAGATTTCCAAAACGAACGCGTTCACCTCGCCGTAGTATACTGGCTGCGACGGGACCTTCACCTTGTCCGACTGTAAGACCGCGTCGATCTCGATCGACTCGATCTTCGTCTTCCGTTCTTCGTTGCCGACAAAGGATCGAGTTTTATTTCGAAATTGGAACTGGATCCGGATCGGTTCGACTCACGTGGAATGTCGTATACGGAATCCATGAACGCGGTCGTTACTGTCGGCCGATACGACCCGTCGATCGATGGCAAATAGCTGAGGAAAGTCGTAACGGACATATCGAACAGGGATTTATCCCCGAAGGGATCTTTTTCCTGGGCGGTTGCTTGTTTCGGTACTGCAGGCATTACCTCTATGGACACAGAACTATTGGATGTCGATTCTGATGGGTAATGGACATCCTCCATGCTTCGTTCAGGGGAAGGTGTGGAGCTAATGCAGTTTGTATTTCAGATTTATAAGTCCCGAGGAATAATGATTGATTTTTAACCCTTTCACTACGAAAGGCGTAAATATACGTCCTTAGAAATCTATCGATATATACACATATGGTCGTATATATGGACGTATATGGACGTATAATGCGCCGTCCATATTAATAGATTATTCCGAAATCGCGCCGCAGTGAAAGGGTTACTGTGTCTAATTGAGTTGGACGACTCGAGTCACCTTTCTGGCGTTTCCTTCCGCGGTTTCCTCGAGAAGAACGAGAAATACGTTTCGCTGGCTGGTATCATGTACCCAGGCGGGAAGTAATCTTTCTCGTGGGGTTTCCTAAGACCGTTGTACAGCACCAACTCGAAATTCTCATTCAACGCGTTCACGTCTATATTACTGTTGAGAAACATCACTCCTGTGGCCAGACCGTCCTCGTCCTCGGAGACGATCACGCGTCTACAATCGTCGGGATAACGAACCATCTCGCTCACGTAAAACTCGCCGTAAAACTCTTTCACCAGAATAGACTCGTCGTCGATGATCGGTACAACGTCGTCGTTGTCCTCTTCCCTGTCGCGTAAATCAAATCATTCGCGCAGGATTCGTTTGGAGGAGTTGCGCGTAACTCACACGACTCGACGGATTCTGAGTCTGGGATTCTTCAAGTGGCGTTCGGTCACGTAGATGGACTGTATGGAAAGTCTGTCGGTGGTACACCTGGGTGGTACTCTGATCATTTGCCCTTCGAACACGTCCGCTGGAAAATTACACCCGTGACCACACCGGCGGCGGTGTTTAAAAGATCGAGATCCTCACCTAGAATGATCTGAGGAGGAAGCACGAGGATCACGTGCTGCAGATACGAGGTGAAGTCGAAGAGCCCGGTCAGAAGGTCTTCGTAGAAATGACCGGTGTATCGTTTGTCCCACACGAGTAGGTGCAGAAACATCGTGTTCATCTCCGTCACGTCTTCGACCCTTTTTTCCGAGAGGATGGTTCGTACAAAAGTATCACACGTTCTCCGTAAATATGTTTACTTGTACGAAGCGTAGATCCAGTGCATCCAGTCTTCCGGAGGCACTGCCGGTACGTTCGGATAATTGCAAAGGCACATGCTTGAAATGACCTCGCTTTTCTCGTTACATTGCACAACCGACAGGCAGCTTTTCTCGCTGGAAACGTATTTTTTACTCGCGCATTCGATAGAACTGGCTTTGTAGAATTCTCAGATTGATTCATCGATACAATATGCGTCCAACGTCCACGTCCCCGAAGATCTCATACGTCTCCGGGCGTATCAGCCGCTCCACACTCGGGAGATCCGCGTGTTCCATGCGTCTCACGCCTAGCACTCGTGACGCAGGATCCACGGTCTTCCTTCCGAGGAAGTACGCCTCCGCATCGCCCAGCCATATGTCCATTATTTCGGAAGATCGCGACGGTAACCACGAAATTCCGGTCAATAGATAGAATTTTCAGTCTCGCTGCTACTTTCGTAGAATAGCAGTTGCAGCTTGTCTACGCGCATTTGTTCAGAGCTCGTGTAAGTAAGTGCTGTCGGCGTTTAGCGTACTTAACTCGATGCAAATGCTCGCTCGGTAGACGAGAATCGGGCGCAATGGGAAACGATCGGTCGAATTATCGCGAGACCGTGGGAAAAGGCTCGGCGTATGCGCCCGACGAGGCGACCGACTTTAACGCCGGCAAAAAAGGTAATAACGAAACTCTTCGAACGATTTAAACGGAGGGACGAAGTAATTGCTTCGCGTTCTCGCTCCTCTCCCGTCTTCGTAGCTCGCCTGCTGGCTTTCTTCTCGCGGCGTTAAGTCGCGTACACACAGAGAAGTTGTCTTTTGAAATTATTGATGGAATTGCGGAAGCCAAGTGTCGCGATCTCATCGATGATCGACGTCAGTTTTTCATTTGCCCGCCGCGGTGAACATCACGGAAGCTGTTCGCGTTATGCCGACACGTGCACGCGTCGTGTTCCACTCGTGAACGAGTCATCAATGATGTTTACGATACGATGTACTCTGAGTTAGAGACGTGATGAATTTCTGGCGCGTTACCTGTTCTCCTTCACCCTCTGTGCGAAACAATAAATCCTACCGAGAATTCGGCGTGTTTCTCAGAAGCACGGTTAACGACTCGCGTCATGCAAATCTCGAATATTGCACAGCTGGCACGAACGTTTTGGCAGCAGATCCGGGACCGAGGTTTTGTCTCGAGGCGATTCTCTACAATTCATCTGAAACGATTATTCGTCGTCGAACCACCGGCTGAGCGTTCGTTCCAAGCAATTGAGAGTAATTAAACGAAACTCGAGTAGATGAAATTAGAAACGAAAGCGAGCGTGCACACGTGTACATGTGCACGCGTCGCATTCTTCTAAGCGGATTAAATAGATTTTTTTTAAACAACAGACCTTAGCCTGTTTAGAGACGAACATTAATTCTGGAGTGTTTCAGAAAAGTCCACGACTTTTAATTCTACCCACGTGACGATCGATTATCGTCTCCGAGGAAGAAAGGCTCTTCTTTGCTTAGAATCCACAGCTTCGTTTCTAATTAACTCTCCGGCGATCTGCCGTCTGATTACACGATGGCAGCGTCGCGGAAGAAACGCGGCCTCGGAGCACCAGAGAACGGAGCTTTTATTAATAACTGCAAGAAACGCGGAAGCACCCGCCGTCGCCGCGACGCTCAGATCGTGACTCTTTGTCCGGCCACGCCGTAGTATTACGCCTTTTCACGCTTCTATCGACTTACTGCGATCTGAAACATTCCCAGGAGCGGAAGTTTGCGGAATCGTTAAATCATCCGGATCGATGCTCGTCTCATTTAGATGATCTATGAACAATGTCGGCCACTGATCGCAGTTACGTTAAGCGACGCACGAATTTCCGACTTCGCGAGATGCACACACGCGTTCTGTTACTTTTACTTTTACCCGGTTCCCACAATTCTTCCTGCGGTCAACCGAACACGCGATACTTCGTCCCGGAAGAAGGGTAAGAAACCGATGTTTCGTCTCGCTGCATCCGAGATATTTCACGCGGCAGGATTTATTCAGAGCACGGATCGATTCAGTGAGATGCGATTAGTAGAACCGCGCCGTGAATCATTGCCAATCGGCATTCTCGTGCTCAAGCATCGTGACAAAGGGAAACTCGATTTCTCCAAGCTCCACAAAGCGTTTTAATAATGTATCGTTGAAAACGCCAGATTACCACGAGTTTTCTCCAAGACCAAATTGAAATTCGTTCCGGAACTTCGTTATTGGTAACGACACCTGCTAAACGATCTATCGATCGCGAGGAGAACTAGTATTGGATTTTTTTAACTCGTTCTTAACGATACGTCGCAAAACGCAGTGTTGTTGCGTCATTAGTCGGCTTATCTATGCCCAGGTAGCATAAGCTAATTAACACGACCGAGCGACTTGGCTCCGGAGCTGGTTTACATTGGATTCCGCTCGGGGTGAACATTTTGCATATTTTCAGTCGCTCGAGTTAATACGTGTCTGGAACCGGAGGTGAACCGTTCAATTTAACAATGATCGCTGGAACAATGTCCTCGCCGCGACGTGACCCGAGTAGGAAAAAATGCATCTCCCCTCGACTGGCTGCCAGCGGAGCGAGCGAGTCAAAGTGCAGCTCGCGTCGCGCGATTCTCGATGGACCGTGACGATCGTGTACAGGTAAGTTCTCGTATTTTTCAATAGAGAACAGGAAAATTGTTTTTGGGCTTACCTGTTGCTCGGTCCGCAGTCGATCGTGTCACTTTCGGAGAAGAGGCAACACCCTCGCTCAGCGGCTGTGCGCAACGGACTGAGATCGAGCCAGCGGGCGGCGGACTTTCGGAGATCGGGCAGCGGACTGCGAATGTGCGACGTGAAAGAGTGCTCGAACAGAGAAGTGGGGAACGGACCGAGAAAGTGTGTATATGCACATACTCTGCGGTTCCAGTCGTTCGTCGAAAATTCTCTACGTTATCCGAAATTCGAAGGACAGCGACGTTTTAAAAATGTAACATTTATTCGATATGATGTGATCTTACAAAGAAATGATCGTACATCGTTCCTTAAATCGTGTAGTAAATAAATAATGTTTTGTTGCACTAAATGAGCAAAAGAAACTCATAATTTTCGCTGTTATTTAATTATCACAGAGGCTCGTGGATTCGACTCGAGGCGACGGAGAAAGAGTGTTCCAAGTTCTAAGGAAAGATAAGGGAAAACTCCTTAGATATCTACGTTTATCATCTACTCGACAGAAAGTATGTAGTAAAATGCGCACGCGATATCGAGATAAAAAATCGTACACGATATTACATTTTTAATTATCAACAAATTTGGTACCACAGCTGATTTCTGCGACTAATAAATACGATTTTATAAACTGCGTCTGTAAACTTTCCCTCTATTGATTTCAAGAAAAGAAGGTGAAGGATCGTTAATCTCATTACGTTTTGTCGTGGCAGCGTAAATAACGGGATAACGAGCAGCGCTGTTCGCAACTTATTCCTGTTACCTCCTATCGCGTCTGTTGTTCGATTCGACGATCTCTGGTAGAAAATTGTTTGAGATCGGAGAAACGATAGGCAATACCGGTGCAGTCTTTGATAGGCTTAAAGTAAACGATCTTCGCGCACTGAGAAAAATACACGATAATTCGGCTGATCGCAAGGATGTTCATTCGAATGAGCGAGCTCTAATTTGTGTCAAATGGAAAGGGAACGTCGATATTTAATTGTAGAGTGAATTGAATGTTAAAATTGGAAGAATAAGTACAACGTGTGCACGGAAGCTTCAGGTCAAGAAAGAAATTTTAATAGAAGAACGCACGATATGCGCAAGCATTCTTAATCGCGAAAATCAGAAATCCTCTCTGGTGTCCTAAGAAGTAAGCTAAAAAAATAAATGGTAACGATACCGATTGTTGCGGTTCGAAGCTCTTTCAGTGGTAGATTTCATTCGACGGATGATGATCGCTCGTTCCGAGCACTGAAATTTGAGCTTTGAACTTGAACGATACGAGAAACGAGACCTTTTTTCCCCCAGGCAAGATTTATCGGAGATCGATGTCTTACGAATTTGTAAGGTGTAGATTCGTAAACAGTCTGTCCGTGTTGTATATGTACGTATCACAATGTAACTACGACGCGTCTTTTCACCTGTCCTCGTTCATCTGTTGGAAGACGTTGTCTTCGCCGTTCGGTCGCGCCCCTTGCTCGATGACGATACCTTCGTTTCTCTTATTGTTCTGGTTGGTCTCGACTTTGTACAACACGTCGTGGCACAGCGGGCAGCGATCCTGCACGTACAACCACTTGCGTAGGCACACACTGTGGAAGTAATGATTGCACCGCGTGATCTTCGCGCTCTGCATCTCTTGGTAGCAGATCGCGCACACGTCATCCAACATCCGAAGCTGTTCCGCCTTCGCCTCCGGCAGTGAGTTGATCTTGTTCACGGCCGATCGACGTTTCATGAACACGCGCCATCCGGCCTGCGCCTCGCACCAGATGTTGAAGTACGCGTGGATGCACATCATTATAGCGCGGATCGTCCCGCCGGACTCGAACACCAGAATCCAGAACCCGTTGAAGAAGAGGATGATGCCGAACGCGAATTCGATGGTGTTCCCGAACGATCGAATTATGTATACGCAATCGTCGAGCTGTTCCCAAAACACGCTTCGGTAGGCGTCGATTAGGAAGAGCGAGTAGATTGCCAGTGAAACTAATACTTTTACTATCACCTCGACGCTGAACACGGACACCGCCAGTAACCACGTGCTCACGGTGTAGTGAGACCAGAGGAATATCAGCAACGAGACTGGGAAAAGTATCAGAAACACGCATACACCTAGAGCGCGAAGATGCCGATGAAGCGCCGGATTGTGGGACGCGCTCAGCGACATCAACAATGGATTCACGATGTTGTGAACGCAATGTAGGACCGCCGTGAAGAGTAAACAGAAATTGCGACACAGCCTGACCAACCGTTTATCCTTGTCCAAACTCGTCAATCCGGTTTGAAGAGCCAGCATGTAAAATAAAATCGCTGACACGGTGCCGATGCTCTTCTCGTCCCCGTCCTCCGTGAGAAGCACCCATTGAAAGAAGCAACCGATATAATGGCATATGTACGAAATTATGCTGGTCATTCCCAGAACCGCCGTCAACGTCTCGCAACCATTCACTAAGAGAGTTTTCATCATCATGTAGTAGTTGAACGTCTCTTCTCCGTAATGATTCGCGAGGATCTCGATTATTTGTCCACCCACGCGCAATATCCAGAACATGCGTAACACGCACGGTACGTTCAACCGGAGCCATTCGGTTTCGACCAACGCGGACAGGCCGTAGTTGCTTATGAAGTTGTGCGCATGCTGATAGCCCGTGTAGATCGTCTTCAACATCGTGATACCATTGTACCAGATGATAAACTTGCACACGGCCAATGGAAGAAGCGCCGCGAATACCGGCGCGTGGTAAAGCACTTGCGTCTGAAACGACATGTATATTCAATAGGTTGCGTACGTAGGCGTAATGCTCTTTTTAATATATTCATTAGTAAACTCACCGGAACTGGGCAGATGCCCAAGATAGACGGTGCCATAAAACTTAGTATAAGAAGTTTTTGGAGAATCGGATGCCTCGGGGCGAGATGGAGATAACAAAAGAGACTGGCTAACATGCATTGTAACGTGTAATTCTGTATTACTAGGAAGCCAGCTCCTTCATTAAAAAGGATTTTTAAGTCAAGGCGTAAAATACTGTCGAGTATGCTAGGCGTGGAATCTTGCGTGCTTACGTATGAGATAATAGCTTTCATTGTACTAACATTTGACCAATAGGACACAAATATTGCTCCCACCGGTATTAAGTATAGATACACCATTATCAGATGTTTCGTCCATAACATGAATGTACATATTGCAGCAATGCATCCTGAAAAGTAAATTTTCCTCTATTCATTGGTTTTTTTTATTTACTCTGAATCTAGTGGCTTCTTTCGCATATGTTCGATGGTCACGGAAAAAAAGAGAAAGTACAAATACTACTGTGTTACGTGTATTCGTTGTGTATTCGAATTCTTTGTCAATCATACAAGTATAATGATTCTTTTTACAGATACAACGACCCACACGAATTAACCCCACTACTGTGAATATAAAATTTTTATTCTACTACTGGTAACCATGCGAATTTCTTTAAATGCATACCGACATTCTCTGACAGATAATTATGAACTTGAAATAGTCGATTCATAGAATATGAATAAATTATTTATATCTTACCTATGCAACAACAAAGGAATTTCAGCACGATTATGAAGTACGTTTGACAATAGAGGTAACGATATAGATATTCCGAATAGGCATGCTCGGTATTGTCTAGTACTACATTTTCGCTAGAAAATCCAAGTCCGATCCTAAGCAGCTCGTCTATAATGAATAAAGGTGGAACTCTAAGTATAACATCCGTAAAGGCAGAAAGTCTTTCTCGCATAGATGCGTCCATCGTTTGTGTGTTCTATTTTTTCCTTGTATGTATTTCAAAGACGATGTTTTTGTCTTTATGCAGAACGAGAATGGTCTTCTTCTTGATGTAATGTAGTTCAGTTCGATTTATTTAGCACCTGAACCAGAAACATTAAAAATTTGAAACACGCGTATTTCAATTATACTTTGCAAGTGAACTGTTGAATCATTTATTAGCTCACCTTCGAAATAATCAACTTTGTAGTTATCATATTCCTGGATCACATTTATCTTGACAAACAGATAGGATAATTCCTATTATTAACGTCGGTTAAAGTGTAAACTTTGAGTACTCGTAAATTACACTCGAGCCATAATCGACGAAGGAAATTAACGTAGGAATGGCCTGGACGGCGATGCGCACAGTGGAAGTTCAAAATTTCGTGGGATCAACGTATCGAGCTTGATCCTGTCGCGTATTTAGAAACGCGTGAGACGAAGGTTCAAAGGTAAAAACCGTTCTCCGATTGGTGATCAGGGAAAAACACTGAACCGTTCGGAACGTTACGGGAAAGTCATTACCATCGTACGAGAATATTGTGACAACAGGTAGGACACGTCAATTTTCGGGCTCCGTATTTCTGTCAGACGTGTTTCTTCCCTATTCGTTGAAAATCGCGAGTTTCTTCCTCGTGCTTGGTAATCGCGCACGACGAACGTTAACCGAGACGCGTGGACGTAATAGCGACGGATTTCAGACTAATCTAAGTTGTTAAAATACGCGTAATTTTCCCCGACGTAAAACACTGTCATGTATACTTTCGAGGTTACGGTGGAACATGCACAAAGAATTTGAACGATTTGGCCAGATGTCGCCATTGTCAGACTGTCACTTTACAAATTGTTCGGATATACAATATCTATCATTTTTATATAATACGATTTAATAATAGTTACGTAATAAACTTTCCTCGTTACCCGTGCTATTCGCGTATAATCTAATTACGTAATAATTCTGAAACCGATTTACATTTACTGCTATGCACACCTGACGGTTTATCAGGAACGAAACGTACTTGGAATAATTCGTGCAACAGACTGTTACGAGTTCATTCAAAAGTTCTTACGTGTTCTTACCGTATTCATGTGCTAATATATAGAGCATGCAGAAAATAAACTGTATATATACATACATATGTACATGTCTACGATCGTAGATTCCATATCGATAATTTTATTATGCAAATTCATAATTTTATTGTTAATAGTATCATGTACTCTTCATCGTTCGCTCGCAAAAATAAAGTGTTCGACTCTAATTGTATTACAAAGATGATGAAAGGAGGGGAGAAACGGGAACGAGGGAGATTAAGATAAAATCGTTCCAACTGATTCTGGAAGCATACGTTCGATCTCGATTGAAACAATACTGAAAACGCATTCTTTTTTTTTAATAGACATCGAATACCTACGCAACCGGTTTCCGCGTGCGCTATCCATTTTTCTCAAGTATAAATTAGAGTTTAAATTATACGATTAAAAAACATGGAAATGGTTTATGAGGTTTGCACAAGTTCGAGTAAAAAATCGAATAAAATCCGCGCGTCCACACCTGACGTATTCGATGTTTAAATGCGCGTATCATTTCGTCCCGAAACAAAGTAATAAATAAATGATTATATAATCCATCTCCCACTGTCTCTTTACAGGCATGCAACGACACAGACCGTGCAGAATACAGAATATCCATACTGTCATTCGTTCACATCTAGCTACCACGTAACTTATCTATTATGTACCTCGGCGCAAAATTCATTCGTATCTTTGTAAATTAAAACGAATCTTAATGCGCTTAACATACGCTATCGTAACGCTACAATTATAATACAAATGTCTTTTTCAATTGCGATTACTTTTTGTAGATCCGCGCCATCCTCCTTTTATCTCTTTCTTGTTCCGACATCGTTTCTCAGATCTCGTCGTCGATCTTTCCGCTCGCACCGTTTTATATATTAGCTCCGTTCTTAGTTTTATCGTCCTTTATCTTTCCTCTTGCAAATAATCGTTTTATCTCATGAAATTCTAACTGCCACTCGTCGCTCTTGGTAACGCTGGCACCTATTGAGGCACATTATGCGGTACGATATAAACCCGACAATCTCGGAAACGTTCGACTACTCATCTTTAGACCGCGGACTCTTATACGAGACTAAACAGTCACATTTTTCATGATTTTTTTTTTATTATTCTATAAATGCATAAAAATCCAGAATCTACCGATCGCAGGAATCGAACGTCTCCAAGATATTCCAACTAAATGACGATCAGGTTTAATGGTAAAATCAAAAGTAGGTATGAAAATTATTGTTAATCGATTGCTGTTGGATTTCGACAATTTTGCTCATTATTCTCATTTATGCTTTACATCATTCTTCTCGCTATCTAAAATTACGTGCCGAACATCCCGCGATTCTTTTAAAACATTTCCGCAGCATAAACTATCCGGTTAAAATCTGCACCGTGGAAACATACGTGCGTACGACGTAATTTGAAAAGTTTCGATAAACAATTCCACCGGTCATTTGCCTTATTTTTTTTCTCTCAAAAGAGTGACGCGAGGGTTACAATGTAAAATAGGCGGTAAAAATGACAATATCTTTTATACGCGTGTAAACACTATGGCACGATTCTTACTAAACACGATAGTGGATACCATAATTGTTCTTTCTACCTAACTGCGTGTTATTAGCGAGAAGAAATGAATCATAGGGTGCTAATCGAAGAAAATGTTTCGCGCGACAGGTTGCAAGATCTCTGATCGATGTTACGAAAAAACTTCTTATGTACACGTGAATGTAAATGAAGTCCCGAGCGTGTGTCCCAAGTCTCGCTATTGCAATTCCGCCGCTCTCCATTGTACCTCACGCAAGACAGGTAAAAAGACTCTTACGTATTCGCTATAAAAATGCTAAGTATGGACTAATAATACGTGGTACCTTAATAAAAATAGAGCTCCAACATTCGGGTAGTAATACAATGACGTTTATTATATCACAACGAGACAGGTCCTGCGTGCTAAAATTCTACTCTGCTCAGCGTTCTTTCTTTTCTTTTTACGTAAGTCAATTCGGATTGTCCGATGCACGGATGCAGCGATGATACGACCAGTCGTAAGGCATTTCTTTTTTTTTTTGTTTCGAATAGACAAACTCTCGGAGGGATCCGTACGTACACCTCCGCGTTTCGTATCAAGCAAGCGAATACAAATTGTATTTTGTTCTTCAAATCAATTTTATATCTAAGTTGTCTTCAATGAGATAGTTTGCCGTTTTCCTCGGGATTATCATCCGTTTGGTTGAATCATTGGATTTTAAAAACGTTAAAAGAGGAGCCGTAAGCTCTTCGTTGCATACTTCGAACAGCGTCTTCGACGGTTTCCGTTAATTGTTTAATCGCGCGGACAAGTATAGTTTTATTTCCGGTCAGTCGACACGATCAATTTAATTCGCAGCCAATTACATAATCGACATCATATGCTATCTAGCTTACGGAACAAATTAAAATTGAAATAACCGTAACTAAAACCTGCATAGCAGTTAACAAAACAAACAAGTAACGCAGAGTCCCTACGATNGTAATAATGTTAATATTACTTAATTTAAGGGACCGCGAAATTCGATCTGTACTCCAGCAAAAAGATCGTGTTTCTTCTTGTTCGAGCATGAGACGAGCCTCGCGGGATAATTATCCCCCTTCGCGCGATAATATCCACTTTAAAAACGAATTTACAATTACAGCTTATCGATTAGTAATTTCTTTTAGTTTATTCGTGCGTCTTTTCACCTCCTTTATCCGTGAGTACACAATTATCTGAATGTTGCGTTACAAAGATAATGAGTAATAAAACCTGGCTTGGTACACAATTATTACGTTTCATGCGTTACGCTGCGGTAAATTATAGAAGCCGGTTTCTTTATGTCGTTATTGCTTTTTGCATAAGTATAGAAATAACGCGGTTAAATTTCTTAAGCGGTAGTATATGAAAAGCTTCGTTTCTATACGAACAAAATGTATGAAAGCTCCCGCAGGAAACGTAATAATACCGTTTGTTCTTCGTTTTATATCCTTTTTAAAAATGAAATCGGACTTTGAAATCCAACGCATAAAATACCTATAATCAATTATTCCAGATACCTAAAACTTAATACTTAAATATTATATAGAGTTTGAATAAGAATGTAATTAATTGAAACCATTCGATATAGATAATTTAAAATAGCAGTTTTCTTCTTCTTTATGTTACTTGGGTCTATTTTTGGCCATACAGCAGATCTTTCGGGGAGTCAACTTTGAAATGAAGGAAGATTTACGTGATCGAGTAAATCTACAATCGTTTCGTTACAGCGATCATATACTTCTTTTTTCATATGTATAAAACTATATGATTGCTTTCGTCTCGTCAGGAAACCTCATGTCGTTTGCCTGCCTATATCTTGTGAATTCATATTTGTACACGTGAAAATTATTACAATTTTAATTCTCGATCATGTACAATTTAAGTCACCGATTTAAGACAATATGTCCACTGTAAGACAATTTTCGCTATTATTTTTCATTGATTAAAAAAAAACTTTCCGTTTTATGCACTCTGATCGTAAAATGATAAACCGCGCGTACGTATTAATCGTATTGTTGTTGCGTTCGAAATTTTGTTCCTATTGATCTCGCGAATGTTGAAGTTATATTCCGCTAATATATATTATACGTTATATTCAGCACGCGTTTAATTTACATAAACTCTGCAAGCCCAGCTTACCATCGTCAAATGCACTTTTTTCGCTGCTTATATGTGTAAGTGTATAAGTGTTAATAAGTTATCGATAAGAAATATTAGAAAATCTCTCCCCTTCATTTCATCTGTATTCCACTTATTGTTACCAAAATTTCCATGTACTTTTCTCGACCCAGCTCATTTTTTTTATTATTAGAAATCTGTAATCGACGGATGGTGCTTTGCACCCATGTTGTTCGAAATACGCGATGCATCGATATAATTTTTTCAATGTCTTTAATAGAATGTAAGATTTGTTGTATGTCTCCGTATTCTGACTCGTATCGGCGAATGCTTAAAAAAAAATGTAATAAAACCATGATCATGTAGGCCTACTTAAAAATATGAATAGATTAATGAAACCCGGGAAAGGCGTACGAAAAATGCTGAGCTCCGAATAAAATTACACAAATCATAAACTGATCTTAACTGACGAACATAATTGCTACTTTCAATGTTGCACTTCTTAGGCATTTCATTTCATAAATAATTTATTAAGCAGACGTCCAATGACCTTAATGCTACGAGTTACTTTGTTCACATTGATGCATTATTCGACATGTAAAAAGTCACTTGTTATACGGTATCAAAATTTCTATGGTACAGGCAAACTGAATCTACTTATCTTTTATTAAAATAGTTACATAATAACCGCCAACACGAGTCTGTCGCTTGGTTCGACTGTACACATATCTTTTTATTGGCAATGATTCGGTGTGCATTTCATTTTAACTAGCGGACCTCGTTAGTCTGGAGAGCTATGCGTATGTTTCTTGCTTGCATGCATTTATATACACATATTCGCGCGACAAGGTGTTACGTGCAATTCTGTATGTTCTGTGTATACATAGTGTGTATGAATATGTGAGCTGTGTGGACGGCGCTACGTACACCACGTTTCGGTCAGTCAACCATCGACGCGTTTAATAGTCGACTTTCGTCAGTGTAGTTCGGACACCCCTTGTTCCACTGGTACTCCTTCAGTTGAACGTGCCTTGCTCACGTCAATATGTATCGTTGAATGATCTGAAAAATATAGTAGACAAACTTTTTATCGCTTCGAATAATACCTCCGCGTCTCACTTATCTCCTTCCTCTGAGACATACCTGCATACAGATGTGCTAGAGTTTATCTTGAAATAGGAAGAGATTATTCGTGGCAGCAACAGCCACCACATTTTCAGATGGATGCCAAGCTGTATGTAATATCTTTTTATTGAAATCCAAACAGTCAACGCTAATTTCATCTTTCTTGCGTTTACCACCGGTACAAACCTATGAGCAGAAAATGTATTTTCCTCCGTGAACAGTCGTCATTGTAATAGATCGATTTATGGAAATTTAAGAAGCGTATACTAACTTTACGTGGTTTTAGGAGTGTTCTTGGTTTGGCAATGTCACGCGCTGCTTCCAACGTGAGATCACGCTTAGTCGTGCGATCAAATACTCTGAAGAAATTATTATATGAACCAGTCATAATAGCGGAATCATTACCACTCCAGCAACACTCGAATTTGTCAAAGATACAATCATTCTCATACAATGAACATAACTTTGATCTTAAGTATTCATGTACCTGTAACAAGTACAATCAATAAATATTTTTCTGTCACAAGTGTATCACAATTGATTCGCGACGGTGATTACGTACAGGGTAACACTCGATGGGTTTCGTTTCCATTTGCAAGTCCCACACTTTCACACTGAGGTAGTCTCTACTGATCATGTATCTTCCCGAATTACTAAGTTTTACATCGCTTATACTCGAAATTATTTCAGAGAAGAAACTTCTATTTGTCGGATCTTCTGGTTCCTCAAAGAGCTTACTATGTTGGTCGCAGAGTGCAGCAGATCTCATGTCACAAAGTCTAATCGTTCCTTTGCTACTACTATATACCAAGACGTTGCATTCTGCCGGGTGAAATTCCGCGGCAGTTATCACTTCTGTTAATTCCTCCATATTGGTTGGCTTAATGTCTACTATATCTGTATACCATGGTTAGGAAAATGCTACGCTTTACGGTGGCACAAAATTTTGCAATGAAAACTACAGAACATGTAGTAGAATAAATGGTGGAACAAAGGATACTAAAACTCTGGTCTGTGATCTCAAGGTGCCAAAGATTAATTCTAAGATCATCAGCACTGAGGTATGTCTCCTGATCACTGTTGACACTTATACTGTTTATATGGTAGGTGTGCGCATTGGCGAATATTCTTCTTGGAGATGCTTCCACCATCAACTCCATTGGCCTTATGGTCGGTACCTAAATCGATTAACAAGTAGGCATTCAACGTACGTCGGCCGCAAACTGTGACAATATTATGTGCATACTTGATCTCTGTGACCATATTTCTATTGTAAATAAGATCGTCGCAAGAAACATAATGCTACTCTGAATAGATACGGTGTAAAACGAGTTTAGTCCGCGTTATAAATGGAGATAAAAATCGTACGATACTCACCCTTAAGGAAGTGATACAAGAAGGATCGCGAATCGTACCATTTTCTTCTTTTGTATTATAGCCCTCTACTCTTTTATCACGCTCGCTGACCTTCCACAGTTTAATCGTTTTGTCGTTAGTGGAAAGTAGAAAATGTGCTGGATTCTTTCTTTTCAACCACCTAATTTTGTTAATTTTTTCTTCTATTTCTAGTGATTTCAGGTAATCGAATTCAGGTTCGTGACTTTGGAAGGTGCTGTATACATTGTATTCACCTCTCCGAGGTATACTGTTTTTACTCTACGAAAGACATTACTCAATTATTACAGAGTCTTACGTGAAACATTCATAATGTTATTGGTTGCATTGCACTCAATGATTATCTTTAGAAGTCTTCTAAAGATAGAGAAATGCAACATATTGTGCACATACAATTGGCAACGATCCAATACTAATGTATGCAAATATCATTTTTATTTGAAGTCAAGATAAACATAATTGACTATACAAGAATTTGACTGACACATGAAAATTTTCTATAAAAATATATGTGAACTTACAACTGGGTCTCTTTGAAAAATAACAACCCGGCCACCTTTATCTCCTGTTGCAAGAAGATCGCCATCGTGGTTGAACTCAACACATGAGATTATGTCAGCTAAAATTAAATTTACGATAGTGTAAACAATTACGTTTACGAAATAAAATACTTTATTTTAATGACTATAATTTACGACAGCGCTGTGAATTACCTTCAGTGACATCGTCCTCTAACGTTCCTTTCACCTGTGAGAAACACCACTGTATGTCACCATTGCCTAAAACAAAAGTATAGAAGCGATCAAACATCACAGAACGTGTTCGAAACAAAGACGAGCGCGATGCACACGGGATTAATTGTTAGCAATTGAAAAGTTCAATACTACTCGCACTCACATTTCATTATTTACCGTTCAGTTTGTAATACGCTCGTGTAAAAATGGCATGTTACAAAATAGATCAAGAGCCGATAAGTGCTTGTCGTTCGAATTACATCACGCGTCTTGAATATGAAACAGGTAGATGCACAGTGAAAAAAAGGAAACGCGTAAAACTTCGGGCCACGATGGCACACACGATTCGGCCGATTGATTCGTACACACGAGATACGCACGATCGAACAAAGACCAACAAAATTAGTGCGAATCGATAAGCATAACAGGCGATAAAGGTTCGATGAAACGACGGGGAGAGAAAATATATCGGGAGCCGAGCGTGAAGCGTGATAAAAGTACACAAACGTAGCCGAGACGCTGAGGATATAAAGGACCCGAAGCCGAAGGGAACGGGAGACCAAGGTGTGCGGTACGGAAAGGAGCAGGTGGACTCGAAGGGAACGGGCGACGACAGAAAATAGAAGGGATAAACGAGATAACGTTGGGGAGTGAAGGTAAAAGCGATCCTACTTGAAGTTTCGGAGCAATCCATCGTGCTTCTAGGCCGTCGCCACCGCCGCCGCCGCTGCCGTCGCCGGCGACGGGCGTATTTGGCCCCCGCGCGTACCAAGTATCCAGAGAGTGGGTACGGGTGATTATATTCGAGGATGCGGAATCGGCGAAGAAGAACGTTGCGTGCACTGCGAGCGCTGCGGATATACCCGTGAACCCGTGATAGTATCTGGGTCAAGGTTCAGGTTGCCGCGGCGCGGCGAGGCGACCAGCAGAAGCGACGCACTGTTCGTACGGTTAGCGACGTGCGGCAGGGGTAATCGTCCATCGACACGGTGTATCAAACGCGCACGACGCTTACTTACCGGCCATCTCGCATACGAGACACTACGCAACCAGAGAGATTTCGCACGCGAGCTTATACTCCCGGTGCGAGGAGGTCCAATACCGCCTATTCAGGACCACCAGAGATACACGCGCGCGGCGCGCCACGCCGGCGACCAGAATATAGGAAACCTTCGCGATTATTCACCACACTCCGCGCAACCTATTATCCTGTCACATATTCGTCCATCTAGCCTGCCGCCTGATCATGTACGCGATCACCGAGTTTCAATGGCGGAATTCACGAACGCATAACCGCACAACACTACTATGGCGTGACGTCACACCACGGCCAGGTTTCGTTACTTCCACGGTAATCGCCATCTTGCATTGCGAAAAACGACTGCACGCGAGATTCTACGGAAATCACCGAAACCGACCGATCCACAGCGCCACCTTTGCCGCCAAAAATTTTAAACCGGTATTCGTGAACTTGTTCGATCCTAAGAATATTGCGATTTTTCAAATAGGATGCACGATTCCTCACGTCGAACTGAAACTGTCAAGCCGAGAACGAATTACCTGTAAGGTCCCAAAGCTTCTCGTGTAATTCTTCCAAAGAAGAGAACATAGGCACGTTTCTGGAGAAGTATGCGAAATTCTTGGCAGAGCGAGTGTCTGCCATCGACCAATCCATGTTTAGTAAAGATAGAACAGTTCCAAGATGAAAACTTTGAAACCGCCAACTTTTTGCGAGGTTCACTAAAGTAATTCGATGTCGCGTTACAACGATCGATGTTTAGGTACTGTTGCCCAAGAGAAAACTTTGGGCGTAGTTCCGAACCGGTACTTCAAAGCTTCGAATTTAAATTCAAATCACGAGGCGAGTACGCGCGTTTGAAATTCATGTCCGTCCTCCACGGCACTTTTTATTCTATTTCAAAAGATTCAATCGCGATTAACGGTCGTGAGCGTAACGTACGCTTAAGAGCCGTCCTCCTATCGGTTGTGTCAATAAACGATCGATTTTCACGTTATCCATCGACCCGAACAGTTACCGGACTCTCCAACAGATTAAACAAATGACCGGGGACAAACGTTGCTTTCTGCGGTACGAAGGTTCGCGAATGAAACTGCATGTCTCGCACTGGTACGAGAGTGCATCGGCTAAGTACGACACACGAAACTCTCGTTGTCGAACGTGTTAGAGGGTGGATGTTAATGAGTTTGTTCTAGCAAGCGTGTAGTGCTGATACAACGTTTGCCCGGGCACGATATTTGCCATCAGTTAAGCGTGAGCGTTTTTCGAAAAAGTAAAAAAAAAAAAGAGTAAACGTCACGAGTGTTCGAAGAGAAATTTTCCAATACGAGGCACATTACTTTCGCAAAGCGTGAAAGATTTACTGCGAGCTCGCCTTTAAATTCACGTCCACGGGGAATCGATCAAATCCACGAGTACAGCGTCCTTAAAACTCTTCCTCGGACCGTTGCGACGAATCGGTACAATTTCAAACATTGCAGTTGTTACAACGTTTTTCTACTCACAAACATCGACATCACTGTCGTCGCTGCTCTCACTCGTTTCTGATTTCCTTCGCAAACAGACGCCGACTCTCCTGTTCCTGATACGAGCTCGGGGATTCATCCTAGCTAACTATTTCCCCTCTTGACGAAAACGCCGTTCACGACCGTGACGACGACATACTGTTATTATCAGGTGACATCGAATTTACCAACTGACCGCTAAATGTAAACGATGCTCGAATCGGTCGAATTGTCTGTGTGTGTGTGCGAGAAACGATCGAGCCCGAGTAACGTTCACGCTGTCAAAGACATTTGTTACACGATTACGCTTTTACGATGCCTAGATTTTCTAGTCAGAATACATTAAAAACAGATAGAAACATACGACTCGTGTGTCACCGTTTTTATAAAGATATACCGAACGTACCATTACAAAACGATATCACGTTCTACTATGAGGATACTAAACGAATTTTAAAAGAGAAAGAGTCGTGCGCTGCAAAAATCCTCATAGCCAAGTTCCTCCCGTCGGTCGATTTGCTCGAGGAAAAATTACTGTTTCTTGGCAGGGATTTGGAGACGCGCCGGGTAAACAAATGACCGGGGACAAACGTTGCTTTCTGCGGTACGAAGGTTCGCGAATGAAACTGCATGTCTCGCACTGGTACGAGAGTGCATCGGCTAAGTACGACACACGAAACTCTCGTTGTCGAACGTGTTAGAGGGTGGATGTTAATGAGTTTGTTCTAGCAAGCGTGTAGTGCTGATACAACGTTTGCCCGGGCACGATATTTGCCATCAGTTAAGCGTGAGCGTTTTTCGAAAAAGTAAAAAAAAAAAAGAGTAAACGTCACGAGTGTTCGAAGAGAAATTTTCCAATACGAGGCACATTACTTTCGCAAAGCGTGAAAGATTTACTGCGAGCTCGCCTTTAAATTCACGTCCACGGGGAATCGATCAAATCCACGAGTACAGCGTCCTTAAAACTCTTCCTCGGACCGTTGCGACGAATCGGTACAATTTCAAACATTGCAGTTGTTACAACGTTTTTCTACTCACAAACATCGACATCACTGTCGTCGCTGCTCTCACTCGTTTCTGATTTCCTTCGCAAACAGACGCCGACTCTCCTGTTCCTGATACGAGCTCGGGGATTCATCCTAGCTAACTATTTCCCCTCTTGACGAAAACGCCGTTCACGACCGTGACGACGACATACTGTTATTATCAGGTGACATCGAATTTACCAACTGACCGCTAAATGTAAACGATGCTCGAATCGGTCGAATTGTCTGTGTGTGTGTGCGAGAAACGATCGAGCCCGAGTAACGTTCACGCTGTCAAAGACATTTGTTACACGATTACGCTTTTACGATGCCTAGATTTTCTAGTCAGAATACATTAAAAACAGATAGAAACATACGACTCGTGTGTCACCGTTTTTATAAAGATATACCGAACGTACCATTACAAAACGATATCACGTTCTACTATGAGGATACTAAACGAATTTTAAAAGAGAAAGAGTCGTGCGCTGCAAAAATCCTCATAGCCAAGTTCCTCCCGTCGGTCGATTTGCTCGAGGAAAAATTACTGTTTCTTGGCAGGGATTTGGAGACGCGCCGGGGAACGGGACTAATAAAGCCTGCCGGAAGGGAAGAAAGGGACGAGACGAAAAAAAACGAGAATGTGAAAAAGGGAAAATAGAACTCACCGACTCTCTTGTTCACGGCGGTATTGATCATGGAACCGAGCTTCGTGAGGCTAGACTGCCTCATGATGTTGGAGGGGCTCTTCATCCGTTTTGACGGTGGTACCGGAAGCGGGACGGTCTTGGACCTTGCCAGGATGGCACCGTTCCGGCAGTTTCCGTTTGGACTGGAGCCGGGGGGCCGCTGGGGCGGTGCCCCCCATAGACCCACCACTCCTGCGTGACGCGTGGTGATATCTCGCGAGCTCCAAGTCTTGTCCACCTGTTAACCGCGTTACTGTTTCCGACCTCAACCTCCGCTTTGCCCCAGACTCACTGAAACAGTACAATAATTGACACGTTCATTGAAATACATCATAAAAACGCCTGTGCCTGTAGACGATGGGTTCCACCTGTTGGATCGACCATCGCTCGCGAAAAACCGTTCCGGAATGCTGCGCGGCTTCTCGTAGAAGTTTGCAGCTTTTAATCTCGATTTAAGTGCAGCATCACGTATAAACGCGGTGGGTGTGCGAATATGAACGGGACCCCAATTGAAAGAGGCGTGTTCGTGAATGCGTGCGTTCCGGTGTTGGTACTCGCCGAGAGAGACTGCCGTGTCGTTCGACGTGTGCACGCATAAACGTTATCGAAGGGTCGGAATGAAAAAAAGGGGCAACAGGTAGCCGAACGTGGATGACTCGTGAGAGCGATACCCAACGGAGGGGGATGATGCGCGGAAGCGAACGCGCAGGGGATGAAACGAACTGTGATTCTGAAATGAAAAACTAATCGCGAACCTACGTACTTCGTATTTCGAAACTATAATACATACATACAACTGCGAGCCACATCTTTTTCTCCTCTGCAATTTGATTTGATGACCTTATGACGTTTGCAACGTCGGCGCCAGATGTGGGCGCGAAGTGGAAATGTAAAGAATGCGCGTAAACACACGCGTAGCTTATGCAAAGATCTGAAACGCAAATGCGGCCTTGTCCGAAAGAACGCGAGCGTAGGTACGCATACGTGCGAGCGAGATGAGCCTGCGCACGTTCTCGAAACCGAGGGCAACGCGTGCAACCGATTACCTTCGCTTTACATCGCTAATTCGCTGTAACCGGCAGAAACGTTTCAACCGTACTAGGAAATACACATTAAAGCACTTAATTATGTCCGTAGAAACACAATGAACTGTGCAAACGATGAAATTTCCAATGTCACTCCTGTTGGTGTTAAACTGTACGTCAAGTTTTAAACAGCTTCTGAACCGAGGCAACGAGAGGAGTAGACAGGCAAACTTACAACGGTACAAGTGTCGTTCGTATAAACTGCGGCGTAATCGGATTACAGCTTCTACCGAGCTGATACCGCATAGACGGCTACATCGGATCTACATCCGTACATATTTACCAGTGACTCAAGTTTATTCACGTGGCTGCAGCATTTGTCGTACGATAAAGCTCTAAGTTCGGGACGATGACGTCCGCGAATGTATGCAAGTACAGAGTCGAAGGCCTGCGTATTTTCACTGACTGATTCTTCGTCAGTCGACAACTGCACGTTTCATTCAAATTCTAATACGCCGTTTCGAACAACCTGAATTCATGACTTTTTTTTTCACTTCGACACGCCGAAGTTTGAATATTTGATTTGGAAGATAACTGAAATCATGGCTGTGCTACCCAACTCAGTCATTTATATAATTCTCAGCGTTCTTTTTTTATTAAACAGTTACAGATATTTGAACTTTATCTCCCATTTTGTGATGCAATGTGTTGGTTTTAATGGGAAATAGGTATAGTAACTTTAGTGCAAAGAATGTTATAAGGTTTAATATGTTCACTCTTAAGCTGTCGAATTCACACTGAACGGAACAGCCCCTATTCCTCATGCTCAAGAGGTCCATCTCCCATAGCCGTTATCGCTTATTTAGAATACGGCATGGAGATGTGTTTATGTCTATTCAATACTTTCTCCGAAGCATGATTCCATAGGAGTAAACTTCCTTTATAAGTTAAGATATCTTTTATATAAACTTCCTGAGGAAGTGTTAAATAAAGGATTGGTTTTTGTATACCATATATCTATACAATGTTTTCCAAACATTAAGGCTTGTCGATGTATTTTTCCTTTCTCAAAATGTGCAATTTAAAAATTCAAACGATTATGTTAAGATGATGGAACAGAAAGTGTATTGTTTCATTTTGTTTGTATATTTCCATCTCGCATGAGATTCCAAATGCTAATAAAAAAAAATCGTTACTGTACCGCATGTGTACTGCAACGAGCGCGAGAGAATTAACGTACCTTCAGGAATGGAGCAAGGTTAAATCTTTACCGCTAATCGCTACTGCCGGTTAATCTTGCAATTTAAACGCGCTTAAGGTCATCGAGCTTAATCTACGAGTGGATCAGATTCTCACATTAAACGATCTTCCCCTCAGTTTCGTAGAGAAGGAAGGTTGAACCGAAAAACCAGCCAGGAGACAAGAACGGTTTACGTGAAACTAAAAGTTGATCTGTATCGCGACTTTCTTCCCCGAACGACTACCTTTTAACATGCCCGGAGGAACGTTTCGCAAGAGTATGGATTCGCGAAGACGAGCAAGGAGGAGACGAGGGTGGCCACAGACGGGTGGTAGTTTGTTAAACTGGCGAACCATGCAGGGGATCCCTGGCGTCTAGCCAGTGAATTTTCCGGCTGCTCCTTAAACCCCGAAATTCATTCCTTTTGCTCACGGGCACGCGGTCTTCTCAAGTTCGATGCACCACAATTACCCCCAACGTCGATCAACGGAACAGAATTGCGAGATCTTTTATCGCAAATTAAATTCAGAACAATGAGAATGTTTATTTTCATTAGATTACGCGAGCTGCAGCTGTCGCAATTAGCATCGGATCAACTCGATTACACTGCAGATTAATGATACTTCCGTCTCAGTAGTCACGGCGAGGCTCAAAGCGTTTCAGATGTACAAATTTGTAATAGCTCGAAGACGTTGAACTCATCCTTTCTAAGTAAACTTTACCCCGAGACGATATTCCGTTTACACAATAACGATCCGGAGAAGAAATACCGTCTCGCGAAGTTTGCACGAAGTTTCGCCAAAGGAAGCGTGCGATTTTATTGCCACGGGTACACGAAACGGGTGCAACGAGTGGTGTAGGTGGATAAGGTTGAAGGATCGATTCGCGTTTCCTTTCACCGCGCCGTTCGCGAACGTCCGGAATTAGTTTTCGTCTACACTACTTAGTAGGACGTAGGAGGCGTTTTCTTTAAACTCTGGTGTTTTGCTGAAACAAGCGAAACGAAAAAGGTCAAGTTTACACGGGGGAGACGAAAGGGAGAGAACCAGCGGCGGTCCATTTAATTCTTGGCGTTCCGAATTAAATGAATCGCTCGAGAGCGCATACGAGGAAAGCCTCCTTAATTAAACTCATTACTCGCCTGGATGGAACGATTTACGTCGCGCCTTCTATTCGCGTTTCGTGACAAGAGAGTTCCGCAAAAAGACAATTAAATTATAATAATTGCTCGTTTAATAATAATCGTAGACTAATGATCGAGTATTATCGATGCCATGGAACTCTGACATTCGAACTTTGAACAACCTTTAATCTCTTTTCCCTTGATTAAAAATCCCCGTCAAAAAAGAATGGGAACGATGACAATAATGACGGGAGCAGACGAGAAGAGGAGGGTGCGGCCCACTATTAAAAGTTTTTCCTCTGCTTTTCAATTCCTCGGTTAGCAATAGACTGGAATCGGTTTTTCTCACCGACCTTTTTAATCCTGCTCTTTTCTAATCGTCTATTTATTATATACATCCCAGATCGATTAAACGACAATTTCGTTTCATTTGATTTTCGTATTTGTCTACCTTCGATTGAAAACGTCGGTCACAAAAGATTATTCGCAATAACCAGTATGGGTGCACTCGAGCGTGGTCGACGAATTCCTCTTTTTCATAACCGGGGAAAGCGAGTCACGATCAATAATCGAGCATATGGAGAGTTCAACCTTTTACCCCCTCCCTTCAATTATTATCGTGATGAGTGATAAAACAGCTGTCGTTAAACATCAATTCGACCAATCGCCTCGTGCTAATTCCTTACCATTTTACCTGATCGTGTGCTTAGAAAAAGCAGTTTCGACGATTCCACCAGACTGTGCGTGACCAGACGAGGAGATAACAGAACTAACAGCTCTGGGAAAGAGGCGAGGAACGAAATATCGCGAAACGTTAATCTCTTTACGCAAACAGCGCGAGTTTCTTTTTACGAAAAATTCAAGACCCGCTGCGACTTTTTGTCAAGCATTATCGCGAACCTCTGTTATCACTGAACAATGCCGGTACCTTGGGCATTGCCGCGCCATTGTATCCGAGGGAATCGTCATGCCGGTATCAACGAGATTACCACACCGCGGCATTATTATTCCTGGCAGGCTCGCTAAGTTCCCCGGCCTTGGAAAGGGGTAGCCCTGAGAACGAAGGCTACTTTGGAAATATTCATTTATTAACCGGCATGGTTTGTCAGAGTCGATTCTCATTTCTTTCTAATTCCACGAACGCCTCGCGTCGTTTTCAGAGGAATATGCGCGTATTAAAAAATGACGAGGATGAGACCCCGAGGCCAACAGACATGAACGTCCTTCTGGGATAGTGGGTCAACGCTCAATGTTAAAGGGATCATAGAACGCGTACCAGGTAAGCCATCCCGATGAATCCCTACAAAGTAGGTGTGAGTTTTTGTAAGTTTTCAACCAGATCGCGCGAGCACTCCGGAAGTCGTCGCGCGATTTCACTAACTGAAAACTACTCCAAACAGCGAAAATCATTTCTCCTCAGTGTCGAAACGGAATAAAATCATTCAAGCTTCATCTAAATTATAATCTAACTATAATAGAAATCAAGAATCAATATGTTTCGTTACGATCGTCAAGATTTTTAATCGTGACCGGTTTCACAATTTAGACGGTCCCTTAATGGTGGTACCCGGTCCGTGATTAGGCTACAAATGACAATTACGTATTTCACTCGGTATTTACGTAACCGCGGCTGTATTACAAGTATTCGGCTCGACTCTTTTTTTATTGGATCGCCATAATATTCTTACACAAACGTATCGTTCCGAAACGTAGGGCCTCGCACGACGCACGCTACGTATTATAATCAACGACGCAGTATCAGGACAGCGTTTCCGTCGAGCAAAATTTCAGTGTCTCTCACTCGTTAGTTTCTCGAGTTGTCGCGGCAGTTCGTAACAGCCTCTTGATACTGCGGCAAAGTTAAATTGAGAACGGATAAATGCACGACGACCGAAGATGGGTT